ACCCGCAGTGCGATTGGAGACTCAAAGAGAAATACTTAATCAGAAATATAGAGATCATTGACCGCGAAGACTACTCCAACGACACGGAGATTAACGGAACTAATTTCTATAATAATAATGGCGGCGGCGGGGGCACCGGTACTCATCATATGCCTAAATACGCGTTTGAAATCGTGCCCAGGTATGTGTTACTTATTTCAAATAAGTTATTTGTTTTTTTGGCATTTTATTTAATAATTATTATATTTAGCTATATGTAGAGAGATTTAGATTATTAGATATGCTATGAATATAGAATTTAACAAATATTGCACTAATTTATAGTCAGGATAATATAGTTTTAATATTTAGTTCTATGTATGGTTTTAATTAATGGCATCTCTTGCCGATCACCCCTTTCCCATCAGAAATCAGCCCAAAATTGTATTGTTTGCCAAAACGCTGGAAGAGAAGGCCCTTTGGATGTCAAACCTAATACTACTGAACACGCGGTCTATGCTGGAGAGGACGCTGGACTCGATGCTGATCGACGAGGCGAAGAAGCATCCCTTACGGCTGCCCTCACCCGATGTCTACCGGTTCGCTGTGGAGGACTCGGACTCTAATATCATATTCGAAGAAAACAAATCCAATTCAAACGTTCCGCTCATCAAAGGTATGCAAATATTTCTCATTAAAGTCTCATTTAATACTCATTCAAATGAGTTAATTCTCCGTAGAAGTAGTTTCCATAGAAAAAGTTGTTTTTTAATGAATACTTGAAATTTGAAGTCTCTTTTGACATTAGAATTGATTTGAATTTTGTTCTCATTTTTCATTCAGACATTCAGTTTAATAGATGTTTTATTATACTTACAGTATATTTAATGTCAAAATGTTTTCTTCAATCTCTTAAAAGGCTGTTCTGTTTGGAATTTAAGTCAAAAGTTATTTTTGTTTTCAATTGATTTTTTAGTCTTAAGTTATATTTGTTTTTCTCCAACTTTTATTCGCATTCAATGAAACTGTTTTTATCATTATTTGCCTGTTTTTGAAAGCATTCAACTAAGTATTGATTAGAAAATGTCTATTTATATCCACTTATTGATTGTTATGAATGAGAATATTCTCTATTCTTAGAGTATGTATGGCTTCTTATTTAATGAAAAGCATTTGATATATCATATGATTTTGTGTTGATTTGCGACAACAGGTGCAACACTATTGAAACTGGTGGAAAGGCTCACGTATCACATGTACGCCGACCCCATGTTTGTCCGCACATTTCTCACGACATATCGTTCATTCTGTTCGCCGCAAACACTGCTCGACCTACTGATCGAGCGCTTCGAGATACCGGAGCCCGAGTTCAATCACAACACCCCAAACACACCGCCGCAACAACAACCCCTTCAGCCAATACCACCGCAACAATACATGAACACAAACACCAATACCACGAATCAGATCGTCAACAACATGAACAACAATAACGACATTCAGTATAACAACGGCTCGAGTATGTGTTGCAACAACACGACTGGCGATGGGCCGCACTCTCAGCACATCTACGAGAACTCGGAGATCCGTAACAATCACAGAGAGATCCTGAAGCGCTTCCGCAAAGAGTACTCACAGCCGGTCCAGTTCCGAGTGCTCAATGTGTTGCGCCACTGGATTGACAACCATTACTACGACTTCGAGAGGGACGCCGGCCTACTCGAGACGCTCAAGAAGTTCTTGGATGAGAAGGTGAGGGCCAAGAAGAACATGAGGAAGTGGTGCGAGAATATCAAGAAAGTATTGGACCGCAAGTCGGAGCTCAGCGCCGAACCCCAGATCACACACAGCTTCGAGCGCCAGCCGCCCAACTTTGAGTGGTGGCTCACCAAAGACTCGCACAAGTTTGACTTGCTTACCGTAAGCGCCGTTACCTTAAGCCCCGTTACCTTATTTTTGTTGCCATAAGCGTTGCTGTGTATTCACTGATGACATGTGTCGTCCCATTCATCCCACAGTTGCATCCGATAGAGTTGGCCCGACAGCTGACGCTACTTGAGTTCGATCTCTACCGAGCAGTCAAACCGTCCGAATTAGTGGGAACTGAGGGCCAGTCAGTCGTGTGGACGAAGAAGGATAAGCAGAAGACATCACCGAATTTGCTCAAAATGATTCACCACACCTCCAATGTAGGCCTACCCCTCGTACTCTCACTATTCACCACTATTTACTCACATTTTGCGTGTATTTATAGTTCATATTCTGGTTGGAGAAGTGTATCGTCGAGACGGCAAACTTCGAGGAACGGGCGGCCGTATTGTCGCGTATAATCGAGATAATGATAGTCCTTCAAGAACTCAATAACTTCAACGGTGTGCTCGAAGTGATCTCAGCCATTGGCAGCGCGTGTGTCCACCGGTTAGAGCATACCATGAATCACATCGAGAAGAACTCCAAACTCAAGCGAGCGCTCGAAGAGGCACAGGAGCTCACAGTCGAACACTTCAAACGGTATTCCCATTTGCCATACACTCTATGCATCTTATTATACGTCTTTTGTCTTGAGGTTTATATCAGTCACTAAAATATGAGTTGAGTTTTGCGACACAAATTCAATACAGAAAACAATTTCTAATTTAATATTTACTTTAGTTTTTAATATTGATTAATATGGTATAACTAATATCAGTCAAAATTACTGCAAAACAATGTAGTTTTCTATATTTCTAATTACAAAATAAGATAAATAAGTGTCAAAATAGACTCATAAATAATCAAATGACTACATCTAGACATCTCTTGCTCTACGTTTGTAGTAATCGACGCGAATGTCGACCATTTTAGTGTTAGTGGTGTTGTAGTCATTGAAATCCCCGGGATTTATNTCTTTTGTCTTGAGGCTTATATCAGCCACTAAAATATGAGTTGAGTTTTGCGACACAAATTCAATACAGAAAACAATTTCAAATTTAATATTTACTTTAGTTTTTAATATTGATTAATATCGTATAACTAATATCAGTCAAAATTACTGCAAAACAATGTAGTTTTCTATATTTCTAATTACAAAATAAGATAAATAAGTGTCAAAATAGACTCATAAATAATTAAATGACTACATCTAGACATCTCTTGCTCTACGTTTGTAGTAATTGACGCGAATGTCGACCATTTTAGTGTTAGTGATGTTGTAGTCATTGAAATCCCCGGGATTTATATTATAGATATAATCAAAAGCTCCGAATTCTTTGCGGAAGTCTTCGGGGATATCGATGTTATCAGTACTTTCCGGTTCACTACTTGATGTGCTCTGCTTTTGAGTGTCACTTAGCGTTGGAACCGTTTGTGGCGGACTCTTCGTCTTGAAGGGCCACACCATTAGACTGACTGAGAGACCGATTCCTAAGAGTAAGACAATGCCGGCGCCCATAATGACAATCCATTGCGAACCCCAAGTAGTTTGAGCCGATTCTGGCACTGTATTAGCCTTAGTGTCCTTTGCTGACAAACTGTCTCTCAACTGATGGCTCAATACATGTTTGCCTAAACCTGTTGACCCATTAATGACTTGAAAGCTATTTGACTGCAAATCTTGAGTTTCATTTGATGGCAAACTCTGATTTTGTGAACTTATCTCTGACTGATTAGTGTGAGGCATAACCAGTTCATAGGATGTGCTCATTAAAACACATATCAACACAAAGCTAAGACTTGCTTTTGGATTCATTTGACTTAAGATGAGATAAATTGTGGTAAATTTACTGAATATAACCAATAGAGTGAATAACGATTAAATGAAATGTAGTTTAAATTTTGAAAAATTAAACTTTATATAATGTATGAATGAATAGTGAAGTCACGCTATTGTCAAATCATATTTGATTGAGAAAACTATTTATCACTTAACCTATTATTGCAATGAACTAAACGTGTCAATGATGTACGTGTGGACAGGTATCACGAGAAGTTGCGGTCCATAAACCCTCCGTGTGTGCCATTCTTCGGCATGTATTTGACAAACATATTGCACATCGAAGAGGGAAACCCGGAGTTTTTGGTGACACCGCAGCCATCGCTCAACCACTACGACTCGCAGTCAACGCTGACATCCATATCCTCGGCGACCAGTGTTCAGACCACTAACACATCATTACTATCGCTGAGCTCTAGCACTGGTAGCACCGCATCGACGGTCATATTGCCCTCCAATGGCACGACGACCAACAGCACTGTTAGCAGTTGCGCCACATCCACAACATCGGTGCCCAACACACCCAACCCTAACACCAACCAAATGCTGATTAATTTCAGTAAACGTCGAAAAGTGGCTGAAATTACCGGTGAAATACAACAGTATCAGAACCAACCCTATTGTCTCAACGTTCATGAAGGGATCAGGGTATGTTTGCCTACTCTTTCCATTTTGCATTTTGTCTGCCATTTATTGATTTAATTTATCTGTTATCAGAACTTCTTGGAGTCATTGAATCCATTGGGAGATCTCGATGAGAAGACACTGATGGATGATCTCTACAGCAAATCGCTAGAAATAGAGCCCAGAAATGCCAAACAATTAAACAAATTTGTGAGTTTGCCGTACAATGCATACCATTCCTTTGATTAATGTTAATAAATGTGTTAAATGTTCGTAACGTGTTATCTAACGTGTGTTTTGTGGTCCGTATCGCCCGATAGCCCCGAAAATGGCCGGATTTGAACCTTAAGTCGCCGGGCATTAAGCCGCGCGGGAGTCGCGCTAATCACTTGCCGGCCCTCCAGTCGTTGGACTCATTACTCAACTCTCTGTCCATATCTCAAAACGAGGACTCAATGGCCGACGAATGTCAAACACACAGTCCGTCGACGCCGCAGACGCCGCCCTACTCGGCCACGAGTTGCGGCGCCGGCAGCGATCATTCCGTGTTCGCCTCGGTCTTCATCGGCGGCGGCTCCACATACGGCGGCCCATCGCCCACCACACCCATCCATTCCACGCCACCCACGCCCAGCCCGTGGTCGTCGATGCCGGGCCTCCCGCCCAACCCGTCGACGCCGCCGCCGTTGCCCCCGCGCACCAATCGCGGCACCACTCGACACAACTCGATGTCCTACTCGTCGGACGTGCCGTCGCCGCGCAGTCGATACGCGCCGACGTTCGTGACGCTGACCAACTCGTTCGAGGACGGGATGCCGCCCCCACTGCCGCCCCGTTGCTCCACCTTCTCGGCCACCCTTCCCCGCAATTACAACAGTCACGCATCGGTGGCGGCGGCCGCGGTGGCCGCACAGCACCACAACATTCAGCGCTTCAACTCCGAGTACCGGCGCAACTCAGCCATGGAGTTGCCGCCGATCGTCGACGGCTGCCAACAGCCGCTACTCTCGCGACGCTACTCGCAGACAACGCACGGCCCCCTCTCGCCGCCGCCGCCCCCTCCCAACGCGGGGCCCGTCTTCTCGGTGCCCATCGGTCCCTGTCCTCAATTGCCACCAAAAACATACCGCCAGACCCTCAACAACATCGCCCGATAGTAGACACACCTGTCCTAAGACTAAAAATATTATTAATAATTAATATATTATTTATATATATATAAGAACTAAATTTTTGTGCATAAGTTGCAAATATTATGTTTAATGAAATGTTTTTAAGTTAATTGTTTTAATTAAGAAAAAGTGTTTTTAAATTATAAACAGTTTTTACAAAATCGATGTCCGATTCGATCATTGAATGCCTTAAAGTTTACTACAATTTTTGTTTTATTAAATTAATCTGTTGTCTGAGAAACTATTGAATGACTGTTTTTAAGGCATTTGTGGTTAATAT